ATTACCAGGAAAATACAGTAGTTATTTTACTCACCTTAACCCACAACACTGTTGTTACCTGTTCTCACATTGTGCTCATAGTTTAAATTGAAGAAATTAATTTTAATTTAGATTGCTGGTTCAGTAGGCTATCATGGTGTTACCCTTGCTATGTGAGGTAGATCTTCAGGTTTTTGTTTTGTTTTGTTTTTTATTCACCCTGCCTATATTCTCCTTGTAATTAAGCATTATTGGCTTTCAGACCCCTCATACCAGCTAATCGGAGTGGTGCCCAATAAGGCAACCTTATAGCAAGTACTTTTAAATTATTTAATTTCCCTCTCATCTCTGTATGATGTAGGTCGAGGGTGCCCAAAAGGCAGATTCCCCCAAATGTTGTAGAACTACAACTTTCTGAATGCTTTGCTTGCATTTAGAATGACAAAGCATTGTGGAAGCTGTAGTTAAAAAAAAATAAATAAAAAAAAAATAAAATGGGGATCTACCTTTTGGACACCCCGGATGTAGGTTCACCCTCAATTAGCAGTGCTGTACTTAACATTTAGACATATTTTGTTCTTTCAGTGCCCACCGTTGCTTTGACAAGACTTGCACGTTCTCGCACAGCTTCAGCCTCCAGTTGCGGCTCAACAGAGATTCCACGCAGCCGCTCTCAAACCAGCAATGCCCAACTTGAAACCACCCCTGGCACTGCTTTGAATGCCGACACTCCTCAAACAGTGGAATTATCCTGTTAAGCAGCGTTTTGTTTGTTTAAATAACGGACCCATCCAGTTATTAAAGTTTCATAACTTTGAAAATATCCTGTTCATTCCGTGAAATTTACGAACATGTAACTTGTGCATGACCACGCTATATATTTATCGGTTAGTCTAGAGTTTTCATAGCACTTATTTTTCTGTAAAGAGCTAACATGTTTGTAGCATTCCTAATGTAAAATAAAACTAATGTCCATTAGGCTGTTTGGTACAGTAGATACAATTTCCAGATGTGCATTTTTCTCGTTTTCCTCCCTAAATCTTTACTCTCTAAAAACCCAGTTGAAAACGTACTATTTTGTGTGTGGATTATGAGCTGAAATTTTTCATTGAACTATATATTATACTTCCCACCCCCATCCTAAGTTGTATGTACTATAATGGATGCTCACTGCCAGGACAGACGAACAACTAATCTGAGCCATTTACCATTTTAGAGATCTCATGAATTCATACATATATAATCTTAACTTTAATAAAGCTGTTATAAAGTGGTGCGTAGCTTCTATGAAATATTTGTTTCTCAATTTGTACGCTTGAGCTAAACTTTCTGACTTTTATTGGATTCAAAACTTAAGCAACAAATGGAAGGCAGTGAACCAGTTAAAGATCTTCTTTGTAAGAAAGCAATATGTTTATAGTGGGGCCATAAATTCATAGAACTGTGTGCATGGCAGGCACCCTCTGGTTTAGAAGGCTTTGCGAAAAAGGGGAGTTGACAGCTGGGCATTCTCTCTTTTATGGGCAGGTGCTGCTCATAATTTTCTTAATATATATAAAGAGTGATTAAATAAGGAAAATAGATTTTTGAGAACTGGTTATAATACAAAAAATATTAAATGTGATTGTTACATGGTTTGTCTTTTTCCTCCTTGTTGCCTAAATATGATTCTTTACACTTTTTGTTACAAACTTGTTAATCTACATATGAGTCCTAATGTGAACTATTAGTCCTGTGTAAAAGCTAGTAGGAATAGAGACAAATTTCTTAAACATCGTGAGCTTGAACCATACTAGGTTTGTGTTCTGAATTTATAGATCATTAGTTATGGTTTGTTTGTGTTTTTTGTTTGTTTTTATTTATTTCTCAATTAGGTAAGAATTGTTTTGACTTGGTAATATGGTTTTCTGCTGTCATGTTCTTACAAATAAAGGCTTAAAACTGTTAAGTATTTTATTTTTATTTTTGTGGTAAACTCTGCAAAGAATAGTGTGATGGATGTTAAACATACCTTGAATCACAAATATTTAATTTCTAGTGAGCTAATCGGTTAATTGACAAGATTGTTTACTAATCTCCTTGAATTAGCTACCGCCTTTATGAAAAGTGGTTTTGTTTAGTTAAGTACCAGATTTAAAAGGTATCCGTCTTCAATTAATCTTGTAATCTTATTTATAAAAAAAAAAGCTAAATACTTCTTAATATTGAGAATAGTATTACTACTATATATGGCCTCTGGGGAAGTGGAATATTTATAATAGATTTGAATACGTCTGGTGGGTGACTACATATGAAGTCAACCAATGAAAGGAGGCACTTTATTATTTTATTTCATTTTTGCATAGTGAAAGAGCCACATGAAGTATGAGCCTATACAAAAAATGCTAGTCTGTGTAATCTGTATTTACCAAGTTTTTTTTGAACCGTGACAATTTGCAAATCTAATTATAGAATGTTTGTTTTTAACTTTAATCACTTCAACAGGCGTCCTGGTTAACAAATATTGAATGTTAGTGTCTCTGGAAAATTATTGAAGTGCTTTCGTTACTTGCTTGTATTAGATTAAAAATATTTTAATTGGATAAGAATGACGCGAGTGTGTGTATTAAAAAAACTTAATATGGACCAGCAAATTTTGCATAGGCACATACCAAAGATGGTACTTTCAGTATGCCAAATTTTAAAATGGTGAGGTTGTGGAACTTTTTGCTATGTCATTCCATGTCAAACTGTTTTGACCAAAGTAGCTGCCATTGGTGTGTAGTGATGTCCCGAACGGTTAGCCGGCGAATAGTTCCCGGCGAACATTGCACGTTCACCGCGGATGGCGAACATATGCGCTGTTCGGTCCGCCCCCTATTCGTCATCATTGAGTAAAGTTTGACCCTGTACCTCAGTCAGCCGACACATTCCAGCCAATCAGCAGCAGACCCTCCCTCCCAGACCCTCCCACCTCCTGGACAGCATCCATTTTACATTCATTGTGAAGCTGCATTCTTAGTGATAGGAGGGACAGTGTAGCTGCTGCTGATTTGATAGGGAAATTGATAGCTAGGCTAGTGTATTTAGTGTCCACTACAGTCCTGAAGGATTCATCTGATCTCTCTGACCTCACTACCCCCCACACCACCCCCAGCCTCACTACCCCTCACAGCACCCTCAGCCTCACTACCCCCCACAGCACCCTCAGCCTCACTACCCCCCACAGCACCCTCAGCCTCACTAGCAGCCTCAGCCTCTCCTTCTCACGTCACCCGCCCTCCTCCTTCTCACATTACCCGCCCCTCACTCTCTCATTACCATCACCTCTCCCCATCCACACAACACCTCAGGCACATACACAGGTAAACTGTGCATCAATGTGTATATGTGACACTTTTTTGTTAGTGGGGCCTCATGTTTGAGTTTCGCCTAAGGTCTCGTAAAGTCTAGAGCCGCCTCTGGGTGTCCCAATAGCTTGCATTTAAAAAAACAAACAAAAACTTTTTGGACTGTAATATAATAGCAGTCAGTTTCCTTCATGCGTGAGCGTTTCAGGGCCTGCCAGGGCACAGTGTCACACCAGTGCAACTCATATATCTGGTGTAACAGTAGTGTACATTTAAAAAAAAAAAAAAAAAAATACAATTTTGACTGTAATAGATTGAATAGCAGTTGTCTGCAAGCGTGTGTGTCAGGCCTACATCGTCTACTCTGCCAACTTCTGCCACTGCACAGTGCCACTCATATCTGTTGTCACAGTAGCTTGCACGCATAGTACCACTAATCGAAAAAAAAATGACAGGCAGAGGCGGGCCGTCGTGCTGTGATTCCCTTTAGCCCTAGAATAATGCCCAGTGTTCAGAGGCCGCGTACCCTGAACTCAAAGTTCTGAGGACATAGTTGACTGGCTAACACAGGACCCCCAATCTTCTACAGCTTCCGCTTGGAACCTTGACGCACCATCCTCCTCCAGCTTAGCGTCGGGTGATGAGGCTGGTGGTGGGGGGGTGGGAAGGCTGAGGGTGGTGAGGGAGCCTACCTTCTCTTCCCTGGTGGTCCAGTGGCCGCCACTTCCGGTCTGCAGCTCCGCAGAGCTGCAGACCGTGTAATATCACGAGACCTTCAGAGTGTTGCCGTGGTAACCCGCAGCAACACTCTGATTGGCCAATTCTTGCGAGACACATGTCTGCAGCTCTGCTCACTGCGGAGCTGCAGACCTGTGTCTGCGATGGTGGCCGGGCAGCCAGGAGGGGCATCGCACCGGGCTCCCTCCTGGTGTCAGGACCTGACAGTCTGCCATAAGGCGGTTTAGGCAGCCGCGAGGCCTTAGGCGGCCGCCTAAACCGCCTAATTAGAGAGCTGCCTTTGTTTTGGTCTGTCACTGTGAAGCAGGCGTAACCCTTACACTACCTGATCGATACATCATACCTGATGTTTTAAAGCACGTTATTCCAAACAATTTAGGAATGTTAGGTGATTTATGCCCTTTATGGATTAAAACCAGACTCTGCATCAACTAATTTTCTATGGGAGTTTTGCCATGGATCCCCCTCCGGCATGCCACAGTCCAGGTGTTAGTCCCCTTGAAACAACTTTTCCATCACTATTGTGGCCAGAAAGAGTCCCTGTGGGTTTTAAAATTCACCTGCCTATTGAAGTCTATGGTGGTTCGGGACCATTTGCGGAAGTTCACGTTCTCCATTCGCAAACCGAAAATTTTATGTTCGCGACATCACTATTGGTGTGTGCTTCCTTCCCCCACCGGTCAAGCTTAATTATGATTGTGACCGGTATGCCTCAGGTAAGCATGACTTTGCTACTTATTTAGAATGTACATTGTATAAATGTAAAACTATTTCCATTTTTGGCATTCGGTATGTTCTGTTATCTGCACACATTTATATTGCTGCAAGAGGTGACTTTCAGTGTTGCTATAGACATTAAAGTTCCTATTCACAAAAAGGGCCACTGTATGGTAGCTAATCTATTTTGGTTTGTCTATAAAATAGCGCAAACATTGGGGGCGTGGCTTGGACTCCGAGTGATGGCAGCCTAACTCCGGAGCTCCGCACCAGAGGCTCTGCAACCCGCCCGGCAACCTGCACTTCTCTGTAAAATTCACCCCTACACACAGCGCCAGTCTCGGCAAGCTCGCAGGGACCCCCGAGCACCATGTCACAGAGGAAGGCGGCGGGGAAGAAACAGCGTGGCGGCAATCAATCCGTCGCAGACATGCTGGCCGCCATTAAGCCCGCGCCACGTGGTGCACATGGCGCGGAAAGCCCGACGGGCACCTCCACTCCTGGCTCACCGGCCACGCCGACATCCTCCCTATTTGGGCACACGGAGGACCCCCAGAACGTTATACTCCACTCTCTGGAGGAGGTAAAGGGGTACCTGGCAGGGGAGATAGACAGATCAGCCAGGGAGGTGAAGGCAGAAATCCAGGCCATAGGCATTCGTACAGAGGCCTTAGAGAGCAGGCTGGAAGATGTGGTAGCAGCACACAATGAAAATACCACAGCCACAAACGCACTACTCACCAGGGTCGCTGAACTGGAAATGGAGCTGGAGGACAACTCTAATCGAACACGGCGCAACAACATGCGCATAAGAGGCCTGCCAGAGGAGGTAGGGGATGGAGACCTTGAGCAGCTACTGGCGCAGATCTTCCGCACCAGCCTACCACAGATACCAGATCAGCTGTGGCACATCGACAGGATACACAGGGCACTGCGAGCTAAGGGACCGCAAAACAGCCCTCCCAGAGATGTCATCATAAGGTGGCACTTTTTTCCACGAAAGAAGCAATTCTCAAGCAAAGCAGGCTCCAGCCATACATGTATAAAGGAAAGACGCTACAGATCTACCAAGACATCGCTCCAACTACCCTCGCAAGAAGACGAGAATGGAAACCCATTGCTGACCTCCTCAGAGCCAAAGGCCTGCGCTTCGCATGGGGCTTCCCCTTTAAGATGCTCATCTTTAATGGCCCAAGACCGACAGTGCTGACACCATCCATGGACCCCAGAGGCGTCCTCCAAGAACTGGGCATCGAGGTACCGGGAGACCTGACCTTACCACCGAGGGGGCCCAGGGCGCTGGGACTGCTTCCCAGGGAATGGCTGGAACGCAGAGCGAGATAGGCAACAAAGATGGCGACCCGTGCCTGAGGGACACGCAACATGGACAATACAACACGCAAGTTGATATATATGATACATCACATTAAAGGGACATTGCGGACATAGTTAAAATTGAAAGCTGGTAGGGGAGAGAGGGGACATGGGGTCTGACGAAAGATAGGGAGGGGGAGATTACCCGAATGGAGAAGGGTACGAATATAGCCACTCCATATACAATTGGAAGAAGAAAAAAAAGCAGGCAAACTCGCTAACATTAGGGTGGGATGGTATATTTAACGACCCTTTTGGGGTTAACAACAAGCCATCCCACATATACTCCGGGAGGTGTCTGATCAAAAGGCAACAGGCTTAGACCAGACCAAACCATCGGCCATAGTACTGCTGGCAGAGGGCCCCCTATCGTTGGAGACGCTCAAATCGGGCATGAACCAGCTGTTTCCCGCCAGACAAGGCCACAGTAACTAGGCAAGGGCTTGGAAGTTGGAAGTGACAGGTGGGAGAGGACATACATCCACCCCCCCACCGGGGAAAGGTTCAAGGGGACACAACTGCGCATCTAGCACTTCCACACAAAGGGGCACACAGTGAGGGGAAGCAAGTAAGGGAAAAGTTAAAAAAAACAAACAAAAAAAAAAAAAACCCAAAGGGCCCAGGGAGAGGGATCAGATACCCAAGACACGGAGGAAAACAGCAGGACAGGTGAAGGGCCATTCACACCCCCTCCCTCAGGACACACCTATACAGATAGGCTCACAGGAGCCGGTGATCGTCACACCCTATGTCGTAAACACCCACGACAAGTTAGACACAAGCTTAGAGCCTCGCGGGGGTGCTCTGGGGCTGTACACCCGCCCCGTTTGAGACACTTCTTGACGCGGCGGATGGCCACCCCCGATCGACCTGGCGAGAGATAAGACCGGGATTTTAGATCCGACAGGTAGAAGGATCACGGAGGATCATCCTCCACTAAGTTGGGATAAATGTCTTATGGGTTATGTTAATAGGTTACCAATATGTGTTGTCATGACCTGTTTTCTTTCCTCCCCTACCCCTGCCCACGATTCCGCTGAGACAAGGCACATTCGGCAACCACCCCGGGGGGACCGCTGGGCGGCGCACGACAACAAGGCGGACGCTCCGGACTATGCGCCTACAAGGCAAAGAGGCACAAGGTACACTAGCACACCACTCGCATTATCACATGGCACTTAAAATTACATCACTCAACGTAAACGGCCTTAATGTGCCAAACAAACGCAGACTTTTACTCAGGGAACTACACAGACAGAAGGCAGACATAGCGTTCATACAGGAAACCCACCTCCCTAAGACCTCCAAGATTCAAATCATAGACCACATATATACGAAAGCATACGCGGCCCGCTCGCTCCGTAAGACAAAGGGAGTAGAAATAGTCATCCACAAACGATGCCCACTGGTCATACAGTCCATACACAGAGACACGGATGGACGGTTTATAATTCTAACGGGACTGATCAACGCAACCAAATATCACCTCATAAACGTATACGCCCCTAACATCCCTGACGCCCACTTTTGGACAACCCTGGAAAAGCTCATAAACTCTTTGACGGGGGGTATATTGATCCTAGGAGGTGACCTGAACGCAGAGCCGTGTCCCGCGGTCGACCGCAGTGGCAAACCGGGACAACCCAGATCACAGGGTAGAGGAGGACAGGATCGTTTACTAAACCAATTTTTACAAAACACTGGGCTTCTGGATCCCTGGCGGTTGCAACACCCAGGTACACTAGACTATACCCACTACTCGGCAGTAAACTCCACTTACTCCCGAATAGACGTATTCCTCACAAATCAACAGGGCATGAGATGGGTAAAATCGTCAGCCATAAATATGATATCCTGGTCAGACCACGCTGACATTGCCCTTACTCTCCACACACCGGGGCCTCGGGCCCCCTGGAGGTGGAGGCTTAACAACTCCCTCCTTAGAGACCAAGACACCCTAGAGCTACTTAAGTCAGAAGTAAACAAGTACTTTGAATTAAACACCACGGTAGGAATGTCCCCCACTATGACGTGGGCGGCCCACAAAGCGGTCCTGCAGGGAACCCTAATAAAAATAGCGACACGAAATAAAAAACAAAAAATGGAAAAACTAACGGAACTGCAGAAGGCCCTCCGTAAAGCGGAAATGCAACACAAACAGAACCCGACACAACCCACACTAGACGACATACAAAACATCAGACATGCGCTGAAGAATCTCCTCTTGGATGAGGTAAGCAGAGATATCACCCGATCGAGAAGACTTTTTTTACGAAAAGTCCAATAAAATGGATAAGTTATTAGCTAGAGCCCTCAGACCCAAACAAAAACACAAACACATCACATCCATCACCAACGAAAAGGGCCAACCCCTCACTTCCCCACAGGACATTGCCGAGGAATTCACCAATTTCCTACGGCAAATATACAATCACTCCCCGGAGAAAAATGAAACCAACAAGGAACACGTAGAGGCAGTCACAAGCTTCCTGGCCAGTATAAACCTACCCAAACCAAATCGGGAAGATCTCACAGACCTAGAGTCACCAATTACGACAGAAGAAGTAGACAGGGCCATAGGATTGATAGAGGGCAATAAGACACCAGGACTTGACGGGGCCTATTATAAAGCACTGCGAGCAGAATTAGCACCTCACATGACAACAATGTATCAGGAATGGATGGAGGGGGGATGTCCCAACGCAGAGCTCGCCACGGCAAACGTGGTTCTTATCCAGAAACCGGGACGGGACGAATTGAAGGTGAACAATTACCGCCCCATCTCCCTGATTAATGTAGACTCCAAAATCTACGCCAAGATCCTGGCCATCAGGCTGGGTCACATTCTGCCCAGGCTGGTCCACCCAGATCAGGTGGGCTTTGTGCCAACTAGGCAACTGTATGAGAACACTAGACGTGCAGTGGACCTGATCTGGTGGGCCGGTAAAACTCAGACGCCTTCTCTCGTCCTATCGCTGGACGCGGAGAAGGCCTTCGACAGGATCCAATGGTATTACTTGTTCGCCCTATTGCGCCACATAGGCCTACCAGAAAACTACATCACAGCGGTCAAAGCACTGTACATGAATCCACAGGCCCAAATAGCCATACCAGGAGCGATCCCAAAACCATTTCAACTAAGTAACGGCACGAAGCAGGGCTGCCCTCTCTCGCCGCTCCTCTTCATACTAGCCCTAGAACCCCTCCTCTACAGGATTAGGGAACACCTAAACATAAAGGGACTGACAATAGCAACAGAGCAGTATAAAGTATCTGCGTACGCAGATGACATCCTGCTCACTCTCACGAACCTGGAGAACTCCCTCCCGAGTCTAGTCCGGCTACTAGAGGAGTTCGCCCAGGTGGCAGGCTATAATATAAACATGGACAAATCAGAAGCCATGCCGCTGGGGTTGATGGCGGAAGACACGGCGCTAATAGGGAGGATGACGTATATAAAGCTGAACCACCAACATATAAAATACTTGGGGGTCAAACTAACAAAAGAGGTCTCACGACTGTATACGGAAAACTACACACCAATGATCAAAACAATAACAAAAGACTTAGAAAAATGGCATGAGAAGCCGATCTCATGGATAGGCCGTCTTCACGCAATTAAAATTAATGTATTACCGAGGATGCTGTTCCTCTTCCAGGCACTGCCCACGAAAGTCACGAAAGGGGACCTCCAATCCCTACAAACCAACATAGACCAGTTTATATGGGCACACAAAAGACATAGGATAGCCTGACGCATACTCTACCGACCAAAGGGACTAGGGGGACTGGGACTTCCTAATCTTCACCTGTATTATCTGTCGGCACAGCTAGCCCAAATAATAGAGTGGCACTCACCCCCTGATAGACGCAGATGGGCAGACCTGGAATCCTTAGTGATGAGAAGCGACCTTCCCCAGTTTTGGATCTGGGTACCAAAAGCAGACAGACCACCCTTACTCACAGACTGCCCATCTATACTCAACTCCATTAAAATATGGGACGCCAACGCTCAAAAATATGCACTAACGAGAATGCCCTCACCTCTCACCCCATATTTGAGAAACAGGGCATTCACACCAGGTATGCGGGCGAGGGACTTTAAAGGTCTGGAATACGCAGGCCTGCAGAGATACTATCACCTATACGACGGAGACACACTCAAAACCTTTGACGAACTAAAACAGACAGCGCCATTACAGACTAGAGACTTTTTCAGATATATACAACTAAGGGACTTCGCTAACCATCCTAGAGTTAGAGAAGTAGCTAAGGCTCCAATGACTAGCTTTGAAAGATTATGTATAACAGAAACCACACGCAAGGGACTGATTACCGGGCTTTACGCACAACTTAGTGCCCCGGAGAGGAACGCAGAACCCCTCACCTATATCACCCAATGGGAGAAAGATCTACACCAAACACTGGAAGGGGAGGACTGGAGGGATATATGGGAAGCGACAGCCAAAGTCTCCATATGCGTAACACTTCAGGAACAGGCATATAAAACCCTCCTGAGGTGGTACGCCACCCTGGCCAAATTATATAGAATGGGGAAAACCACCACAGATACTTGCTGGAGAGGCTGTGGTGAGAGAGGATCATACATCCACATGTGGTGGACATGTCCCAAGGTAGTGAAATTCTGGTCGGAAATAGAGACATTAATGACAGCAGTCCTAGAGAGACCAATACACAGAGACCCATGGACATTTTTATTAGCCAAACCACAGGATGACTTGACAACAAAAGAACAGAAACTAGTTAACAAACTGACCCTAGCAGCCAGAAGAGCACTGACCCAACAATGGCTAAGCCCCGACATGCCCCCTATGAGCAAAGTCATTCACAAAATACAGGACAATTTCACCATGGACAAATTGACAGCGCAGGTACGGAACACCATGGGCACTTTTTCAAAGGTGTGGCAACCGTGGGAGGAATATCAAGAAAGAATGGCGTGCACACCATGAGACACTAGAGCCAACCAAAGTGACACCCACCACTACACACATATGCAGTGTGTCCCCCCTTTTTTTTTTTTATGGCCGCTGCCTCCCCGCCCTTCCCTGGCACGCAAACTAATCCCGTCCTCCTCTCTTCCCGCCTTCTCCCCACAGAAAAGGGCAATTATGCACGGAAAATAAATAAAGAGGTGGGATGAGGGGGGGCTAACACACAAGCCCAAAGTATTATAATCAATCTGAAACCAGGGGGGCTCGCAAGAGCAAATTACTAGGTATCTAACACGCTCTTCACAAAGGGGACTTACAGTCACGACAAAGGGTAAATGTATGGTGGGAGGAAGACGCAGCGGAGGGCAGATAATAAACAGTCAGCACAAACACGGCCCACGTAAGAAAAGTAATGCTACACTCAGGTGCCCATAGTATGGGGGCGAGGGGGGGGTCGGGGGGTTGAGTGGGGAGGGAGAACAACAATAACTACGAGACGAATAGAATACCAGGTCATGACACTAAGTTTTAGAAGTTCGAGTTACCTTAGGAAAACACCAAATAAGGTGTTTCCAGGTTTTGATGTTGATTGCGTTTACAAAAATGGAAAAATGCTGATGGACTGCAGCTTCAGTCAACAACGAAGAAAGCAAGAGCTGCCGCACAACAAATGTATACTTAACCAAATGATTAGTTTTTTCCAGTATCACTGAAATACCAATGTACCTCTTGCTGCTAGGCCTATGCACAAGCTCCAATAATGCTTTCAAGCTGTAATGTCTGTCAAAGCAAAAATAAAGAATTATAAAAAAAAAAATAGCGCAAACATTAAGTCTGCTTGCGAACTGTAGCGGACCACAGGTAACCCAACTGGTTACCTCCGCTATTACCTTCCTTCAGCCACTTTGGAACCAGTCCTGGAAACTTAGTCGTGGGAGTCAACTGAGTTTTATTGGAGTACACACTGCTTTTATGCACATACAATACAGAGCTTTTCCTCCCTGGATCCTCTACAGAAAAATATACAATATTCTAAAACACTCCAAAAATACATTTTCAAAAGGGGCTAATTTGATTGTATGGGAGGTCCGAGCTTACACTCCAAATTCCTCTTTGAAGCTACGCCCCCAACTGACCCACTCTGCAAGGTGTGAGAAGTCACA